TCAGCTCATCGAGCGAGCTGATTTTCATCCACTTTGGCCTCTCCTGCAAGTCAAAAAACTTTATTTGTTAATTTGATCTTTTCTACAAGTCAACCTATATTAGTCTATTTATATCTATATAAAAAGGAACTGATAGTAATTAAATATTTTAAAGCATCAATTGCGAGTCTAAGGCTAGACAACCATATTGTTTGTTTGCGCTTCTCTCTATAAATCTGCATTAGTCAAGAAGAAACTGAAATAAAAAACAATCACTTCAAGCTACATTTTACTGAAGGACTTACTAATATAAAATCCCCGCTACAATACTAAAACTTTCTAACAGCTGAAAACAGTTAAAACACTCAGTTAAAGCAAATAGATCGGTATTAGAATGGAAAATCTTTGAGCCCTCTGTTTGCTGCAACAGAAATAGATTACTTATAAAAAAAGAACATGTGCGGTAGGTAGTTAATTAAATTATTATGGTTGTTTATTGTTGCTAATACTGCAAAAAGAGCTAAGGGCATCACACGCTTTTGCGACTCTCTTTGACCTCTCAGTAACACGCACACCATATTGTTTGGGAACTACTGCACTATGCATATACCCCTTAAGGTCCAGTAGGATTATATACACTATTTTGCTGTTAGGATCAGTTTCAGTAGAGGTAATAGGTTGTAGTGCAGACCCCAAAAAATTCTTTTTCTGAAGTAGGTAGTAAGATTAAAAATCCAGCCGTTCACCCATTAATTCAGTAAACATGTGTACATAGAAAATATTCAAACTGATACGCAGAATAGATCTTCTATTTTACAACAGCTAAGTAAATCTGGTTAGATTAATCTCCAGGGGCAATAACATTAGAAAGGGAAACAAAGAAGCTTTTCTCTTGTTATCACTATTTGAGGTTTATATGGGATGTGAGGTAGGGAGACCAGATCATGTTAGGTTTCAACACAATGAACATGGGTGTGTCATGTGTTTTTCTTTCTACAAATGAATATAGAAAAGCAGATAAACAGACACATAGTAGTAGTCCTCATCAGGTTGTTAACTTTTGCCTCTCACCCATGGAATGAAAGCAGGATATATCTATCCCAGGCATCTGGGAATGGTCAGCATGCAACTAGATTCAATCTTGGGTTACCTCAGTCCCATCCCTAAAAAAGCTAGTTTTTCTTGTATTCAATCTTTTGCACCTCCGAAGAAGCACAAGTGTTAAATCAGGAGAAAATATGAGATGAACCTCTTAATTAGAATATTATACATGCTGATGCTGATAGAGGTGGCAAGAAAATTTCTGGTCTTCTTCGTTTAAAAATAATACCTTTAAAGAAAACATTCCAAATAATGAAGAGCTTTTGAGAGCACGATCAACATTAGCAGGCACGTCTGGGGGCACATTGCTGATGAATAATCCATATAAGCCCATACCAAATATTAGCATGACTGTTCCGGCTAGATAAACATCTGCACTAAAAAAATGTGTAATATCAGTACTTCTCTGCTGCTAGTTACTCTATTGTGATTATAACAAAAAATTATTTAAAATATTAGAACATCCAGAGAGCAACTAATGTAACACCAACCCAACCATGAAGATATTTTAGTGGCAAAAAAAATCTTAATTAGTTTAAGGGAATCAACTCAGCTCCAATTTGATTTTGTCATATTAATTAGTTTTCTTCAAGTCTATAATTGATGAACCCA